ATATATATATATATATATATATATATATATATATATCGTATAGTGCCATTTTTAAAATGAAGTTTCGTAGAGATATCCTTTTGGGTACCAAAAGCTTGTTGACAATTCAAAGATGTTTGACCCAGAAATTACTCTTGTTTGCGATTAGTGGTACAGGAACGGGCTCGTAAGTGTACAATACTATGCAGATATCTGTTGAATGATAAGTAGAAATCTGGAAGTTTTGCAATGGTAATGATCATTTCCTACTGAATATTACAGTAGAATCTTCGTATCGGTAAAAACGGGATGTTTACAGATAATGAATTTTTCCAATATTATTTGAACATCAAGTAAACTGGTTCTGGTTGTGAAAATTCAGTTGTTTGAACCAAAAGCAAAAATTTTATCGGAATTACTTTTGGTGCATAAATGTTAAGTCTGTTTGATCCTATTACAGTGATTGTTTCATAATAACTATAATTCATGGAATATTCAAATTTATTAATTTGAGAGTAAAAGGCTGGTAAGGGAAAGAGTGTTGATTGTTATCAGTTTCGTAGAATGTTCTAAGACGTAGGATGCTCTTCATATCTGGTAAGGATATTGTGAGTAAGTTTTCTTGAGGTTTTAAGATGGTCAAAATTGTCAGGCATATAGGCAAGCAGTCATTGTCTCAAATGGAGCTTTTAAAAATTTAGTGCTTTCTATTTTATTCGCTTAAACTGTTTGAAAAGGTGACATCGTGTAACTATTGCATGTATAATTATGTATGCAACTATGTGTTGAGCCAACAGTATACTACGTTCTACTTTCTGTAATGTTTTCAAAGGTCATTTGTTATTATTTGATGGTTCTTAGCCAAGAACTAACTTATGGAGGAGAAGAAGAACCAAGGAAATGGTAGCTGGGAACAAGAAATCTTACAGTTGGTTAGTAATCCTCCGTTGTCGATGGAAAGAAGTAAGCCACCTATTTTCTGTGACTGCAGAATTACACACTTGTTACTATAAAATTCCTGCTCTTAAGACTTTTGAATTCTCTGTCACATCCCTTCAAGTAACTTATTGTCTTGTCTTATGTATCGTCGCTTAGGACGGTACTCAAGCTACTAAGAATTACTTCTAGGTTTTCTTGTTTTCTTTATTTTATTAAGTGTGGTATGCAGGGATTTCCGGAGATGAAAGCAATGCTCTCGTAATGCGTTCAACGGGTAGAAGGCAAACAGATGTTCGGAAAAATGGTTATAAAGGGAACTTTCTTCATTTAGTTTTGGCAACTATGCTTGATGTATTTGGAGATAGTGTACAAGATGGCTGCCAGAAAAAGGCAAGTGAGTGTTTTAAGTTCATCTGTTTTTAAAAGGTCTATAAAAGCTTTTGAAACTTATGGGCTTTTTCCAATCTTTAAATTTGATTTTAATTGTGGACAGTTCTACAACAATTATTTATACGGTCTGGATGGGTTCCCGCCATATTTATGTCTGACAGTTATGTGCCTCTTCGAAACTCCATCAGAAATATGTTGAATTCTTGTTTCCCAGCGATAGTTGAAGCAGTGCCCACAGTTGATCAGTCGTTAGCACTCAGTTTTCATTTGTGCTCTTTGTTACAGAAATGATATTTTATAGAATACGTTTTTGCAACATAAATTCATTTTGTACGACTAGAAAAATATTATTAAATATTTAGTGTTCTGGCTACGGAAATAAGATTTTCGCCGTTGGCTACCAGTCGATATAAAGCCGATTTCAGAGAACTTGAACTTATTGGGAAAGGAGGCTTTGGGAAGGTGTATAAGGTAATTTTTAATTTATTTTAAAAGATTTGTTGTGCATCATATTTACAGGAATTGTTTTTTCATCTGTGACCAAAATTTCATCATTGCCGTGTTTTGAAATCCGGATTTAGACCCATTTACGTGGTACTTGATTAGGGATCTTGACCTACAGATGGAAATTTTGAGATTGAAGCATTTATTTGATTTAGGCTACTTTTTTTATATTTATATATTTACACTATGGTCTACGGTTTTCAATGTATATGAAGTGTTACCCGGAGAAATGATTATTTTACTTTGAGAGCCGTTTTTATATTATAGGTTCATATTTTTTACTGTTTCTTTTTGCAGGTTCAGTCTCGAATTGATAATCGTCAGTATGCAGTTAAAAAAATTTCGTTCCTTCTTAGGAAGGAAGAACCTATGATTAAGGTTAGAATAACTGCTGTCTTTTATTTCACGTACAGTGTCACGTATTCTTTACTGAGTAATCTAGAGTAGCAAAATGTTTTAACCTAAACCATCTTTGAAGGTTTTTGGTTTTTGTATATTATATTTCGTTCAAGTAAGAAGGGTTGACAAAGTAATTTGGTTTTTAAAGCAGCAGATGTTTTTTTTTTTTTTTGGTAAACTGTTAGATTTATTTTTTGAGTAGAGACAGTTACCAGTGAACCATCAAGTCGTCATGAGTTTTGAAAACTTTTGTGACTGAAATTAATAAAGGTTATAATTTTGCTGCTTTCGGCTAACAAAGCTCAGGAAAAATTTTGAAAGGTTTATTTTAGAACACAATATTCACTTTGACTATTCTTTTTTGTTTAGGCTATTAGTGAGGTTCGTACTCTAGCATCTTTACAACATAAGAATATTGTCCGTTATTTTTGCGCATGGGCGGAGCTAGATCTTGAAGGAAGTGCTGGGGAACGCCACTTGCAGATCAAGGAAGTGGGGTAACTTAAGTTCTCCTGTTTTGCAGATCCATTGACTTCCTTATGGTCTGATTATTAAATTTCCTTTCAGGACAACTGACTCTTCAAGTGTTCATGTGTCACCGCCAGATGAGATCCAAGAGGGTGATGATGACGTTTCGGCTCATGGTGTAAGTCAAACATCTTCTAGTGATGCTGCTGATCTACTGAGTACTTGAATTAGTGCTTTTTAAACATCCATTATTTCTTTAGTCCTTCCTTAAATTTCACCAGTTTTAAGCGATACTCTTATTTTTAACCGCAGATTTTTTTCTCTTAGGAAAGCTTTCTCGTTCCTGTCTCAAATAATCCTTTGAAAGAGGGACGATTTTGGAACACTAGTGACGATGAATCAAATTCTGTTGAAGATTGTAACAAATCTAGTAGTTCTTCAAGCACCTCTTCTGCTGTTTCCTCTGCAGATTCTAAAGCTTGTGTCGTTTATCGTTCAGAGGTTATTCCAAGAGTGAGTAAGCTATTCCTGATTACTTACTAAAGCTTTGTTTCATGACTTTTATTAATATTTTTTCTACCTTGTTGGATTAGGTCACAGTTTACGTGCAAATGGAGCTTTGCACACGAACCCTTGATGACTATTTCAAGGCGCGCAGGGAAGGTACGATGCTTTTTTTTTGAATTTTGTAGAATATTACATTAATTGATTTAATCTCATAATTTTCAATATAATTGTCTTCCAAAAAAACGCCATGAGTTATATACTGTTTGGTCTTATAATCGTTTCATTTTTAGTTGATCAGGCTTTTAACGAAAATGTGATCAGTCATTTAGCCTCAGCCTTGACATACATCCACAAACAAAATATCATTCATCGAGATATTAAGGTTGATATGTTGTTTTATTAGTTTTTACCCTTATTTTTAAAGTAAGTTCTAAGTTATCTGCTTTTACTACGGCTTGTAATTCAAAACAGTTAAACAGAATGAGATGAAGTTGTGGTCAACATCTCCTTCTTTGTAGGTAAAAAACTGAAAAGGACTGGCATGACTTTACATTAATGTTGGGCAGTACTGTTTGTTTCTGTTTACTTTTAATCTTTCAAGCTCTCTTGCCATTTCTGATCGCATTTTCGCTTCATTAGTTATTTTCTTGCGGGGAGTTTGTCTCAACTTTTCAGCCATGTAACCTGTTCTTATGTGATCGCAGCCCAGACTATCCTCGCGTACTGCTCGGAGACTTTGGATTGGCTTGTCGTGATACTAACATTGATGAAGGTTATGAAACAAAACAAATAGACAGATGTTCGACAAAGTATCATAGTGCAAATGTAGGGACTGTTATGTATTCCGCTCCAGAGCAGTCGTCTTCGTGTTATGATACATCAGTTAGTTATTTACTGCGACTTAAAGCTACTGTATTGGTTTTTTCAAAGATCTGCTTTTTTTGGTGGAGAGGGGGTTTCAGTTTACAGGTTGATAATTGGCTGAAATTGGTTAAGTTAAAAAGTTTCTCATTTAGGTCGATATCTACAGCGCAGGCATTGTTGCGTTTGAGCTTTATTGTATGACCAACACAGTTATGGAAAGGAATAAGAAAATTGATAGTTTGCGAAAAGGCATTATTCCTCAGGATTTTCAGGACAAATGGCCTCTTGAGGTTTATTAAAATGGAAGAAGCATTTATTATGGTTTAAGCTTTGGTCATTTAGATTTTCGCTTTTTGTGTAAGTTACTATTTTGTAGGCAGGGCTTATTCGATCTATGTGTGAATGGGACCCTTCAAAACGACCGCGTGCTTTTGAAGTAGCTGATTACTTGAAGTCTTTTGTGAAACAAAGCACTGAAATGATGAAGGAAAAGATTGCAGCGGATAGAAAATTGATTATAGAATTGAGAGAAAAAATTGCTTTTTTAGAAGCAGAGCTGAAGCGTTTGAAACTAGAAAAGGAAATAAATTCTTGATTTGTTGCTTGTACTGATTGATATTACTGATCTGGGATTGAACGAAATAGCTCTTCATCTAGGGATATTTGTCAATTTTCTCTGTAAAAATGTTTATTTTAGCAAATTGGTATTTCATAGCTGTTAGGGTTATCTCATTTGTTGCTGAGCCTTTCACGTCTCTTTACTTGTATATTATTTACAGTTCAATTGCATCTGTTAATTCCGTTTTTCTTACCCGGCAAGTATACAAGGAAAGAACTGAAGCACTATTTGAAGAGGCGTGGATAACCCCTATAGGTACCCAACGGTTTATGCGCAGAGTGTCTATAGAGGTTCCGTCTTACATAGGAAGCGTCATTTTAGAAGTTCTGTGATCGAGAAGATTTGAAGAAAAGTGTATTATTGAGAATTGTAGATTTTAAAGCTGAAAACATCGTGACGCATGGATTTGTAATGTTGTACTTACTGGGTAATGCCATTTTATATGAGGGGAAAAACGATGAATGCTAATCTTTTTGTTGGACAGTGACTTGGATCCGGGTTGTTTCATGTACAATAAATTTACTGACTAGTTTTTCTATTTATTCTTTGGAATAGTAGTGTTTCACGATACTTTGGAGATGCTTTTCTTTCTTAATCAATGTTTCTTGATACAAGCTATTTTAAATGCAGTAGAGATTGTCACTGTTTAAATGTTAGGTTTTGCGTACTGGGCTGGAGGTCCAACTGACTTGTTTTGCTTATCTTTTGGTGCGATTTCTGACTTATTAGCAGCTTTGAATTGTGGCTTGAAGAAATGTGGTCTGGAATTTAAGTGCTATTCAGTTGACTTTTATTACTTATTTTTACACTTCTCGTTAGCCATATGTTTCAAGATTGGTCACTGCATGATTTTGGTTCCTTACTGGAAATGTTTTCATTTCTTCCCGTAAGAGTGATACCAATGTAAGGAAAGTACAGAAGATCGGGATTAGGCTGTTAATAGTGATTTGTATGGATGTGGATAGCGAGAGAGCAAGCACAAGCTGAAGAGCAGTTACTGAGAGTCGTAGGAAGAAGTGACGGTTGGTTGGAC